ATATAGGTATATATTAAGTTTCAGTCTTTCTAGTGTTAATCGAGATCGCGGATCGTCGCGCGGTCCGCCAGTGCCGTAGCTATGCGTGTCCGATATATTTGTGGTACCCGTTTAATAGTTATTTACTTTTTATGAGTATTACGGTCCGAATTCCGATTTTTATGAGTATTCATTATATTATTTCTATGTGTGTTACATAATATAATATATAATACTCCGATTCGTGTTCGACACGAGAAACTCTATAAGAATCACGTGATGGATATTGCAAAATTTTTTTGTGTTAGACAGTGATTTTTGATAATTGCAAAATTTTATAGAATCCTGGATACGCTGGGAGGAAAGAGCTGCCGGAAAACCTGAAAATTCAATTCCGAACCGTCGCGATGATGGTACCTGACAGGCAAATCATCATTCGGGTGAAGCTGGCCAGCTGCGGTTTCCTGGAGAACATCACGCTTGCTCGGAAATTTTATACCCTGTACAAACTCTGCGAAGAGCAGCTGACGAAACAGGTAAATAATTTAAAACCACGATAGAATTTCTATAATCCTATTAATATTAATCGGTTTTTTAAGGTTCACTACGACTTCGGTTTAAGGAATATATTATCCGTGCTAAGAACGCTGGGGGCGTCGAAGAGGGTGAATTCGAAGGACTCTGAAAGCACTATAGTTATGCGGGTTTTGAGGGACATGAATCTATCAAAACTCATAGGTCTTTTATATTACTTCTTGAATCATTAATCGTTCTCAGTGATTTTTAGTCTATTTGTCCAAATTATATCAAACTTATAAGCCTTTTATACAGGGTGTCCCAAAACTAGTGTAAGATATTGAAATGGGAGGTTCCTGACGTAATTTTAAACAACATTTTCCTTAGCGAAAAAGTTGTCCGAGGCGTGGTTGAAGAGTTATTAACAGAAAACCGCGCCCAATCAGAGCGCTCGGTTGGTGCGAGCTCCGAATCGGGAGCAAGGAAATTAATATATTTAACCCAAATGAAATGGGAAATGATAGATTGTTGATAGGCCGGGCGTTCGGATCCGAGCCAACGCTCCCGATTCGGAGTTCGCGCCAATCGAGCGCTCTGATTGGTCGAGGTTTTTTGTTAATAACTCCTCAACCACACCTCGGACAACTCTTTCGCTAAGGAAAATGTTATTTAAAATCACATCAGGAACCTCCCATTTCAATATTTTACACTAGTTTTGGGACACCCTGTACAGGGTGTCTGAGAAAGGGTTTCTGAGAAAAATCCAAATAACATTTTGTTCTTATTTTCGCAAGTGGTATGTGCTTCCCAAGTTTGTCCATTAAAACCCGGGACACCCTGTATTAGAAAAGATTTGATTTATTTTATATCAAGAAATCAGTGATTTTAGTCTATTTGTCGAAATTATTTATTGCAGACGAAGACGAGCCTTTATTCATCTCGTTAGTAGCTGATCTGTTTCCGAATCAGGCTCTTGAAAAAACTTCCTACCCGGAACTGGAGGCTGCGATTAATGAACAAGTAGAAGACGCAGGATTGGTGTATCATCCACCGTGGGTGCTGAAGTTAATACAGTTGTACGAAACGCAAAGGGTGAGGCATGGGATAATGACCCTGGGACCGACTGGTGCAGGGAAATCCACTTGTATTCATATCTTGATGAAAGCCTTGACTCAATGCGGCGATTTCCACAGGTGAAAATTCATTAGTCTCGTATTACTAGATTATGCATTTTTTTGCAAAATACAGTAGATTCAGGCTCTCAATTTTTCAATTATCGTATTTCGTAAGTTATTATACTCGTGTTCCCGAGAGTCTAGGATTGTTTCTCGTATCTTGAAACTTGGGGGGGGGGGGGGGTCGAAGCGAACTCCCTCCACACGGTTCAGTATACACGGTAAAGCATTGAGATGCGCAGAACGATCAAAAACTGAACTGTGCCCGGTCCTAGACTCTCGGGAACATTAGTATACTAATTGTATATTCTTTCCTGTGAATATGTAACCATCCCACAAACTGCACACAACTTTCGCGAATATCTTCTAGAGAGATGAGAATGAACCCGAAGAGCATAACAGCGGCGCAAATGTTTGGCCGGCTGGACGTGGCGACGAATGACTGGACGGACGGTATATTTTCCGCCTTGTGGCGTAAAACTCTGAAACTGAAGGAAGGAGAGCACGTATGGATGGTGCTCGACGGTCCCGTCGACAGTATATGGATCGAGAATTTGAATTCCGTCCTGGACGATAACAAAACATTGACTCTGGCGAACGGCGATCGGTTATCGATGGCGCCCACCTGCAAAATCATCTTCGAGCCGCATAACATCGACAACGCGAGCCCGGCGACAGTGTCTCGCAATGGGATGGTTTATATGAGCTCGTCTGGGCTGGACTGGAATCCTGTCGTTACTGCCTGGTTGAAAAGTAGGACACCCTTAGAGCAGGAAGTGTTCGAACAATGCTTCGCCGACTCTTTTGCACAGGTGAGAGGCTTCTTAATAAAATTCATTAATTTTCAGATATAAATTTCTATTCATTGGCTTGTCTTCTTACGATCTTAAAATAATATTGGGAGTACGTTCGGTCCGTTTTCAAAACATGGTTCTGGCTTTTATGAATGTTTCATAGTGACAGCGATTTCAGAGAGCTTAAATGTCTGTCAATAATATTCAGTTTATATTGCTTTGAGCTTCATACAAAAACCTTGTTTTTTACTGTGTTGAATATGTCAAATTTTGTATTAACTAAGCAGCATTTGCGGGAGGTTTTCTGCTTTAAATGGAAGAAAAGTGCAGCTGAAGCGCATAGAATGCTTGTGGAAGTTTATGGTTACAATGCTTCAACTGATAAATCATGTAGGGAATGGTTCCGACGTTTCAAGAATGATGATATCAGCGTTGAAGACAAGCCTCGCTCTGGACAGCCAAAAAAATTCGAAGACAAAGAATTGGAGACATTACTCGATGAAGATCCGAGTCAAACGCAAGAGGAGCTTGCAGAATCATTTGGAGTGACTCAACAAGCAGTTTCCATACGATTGAAATCCATGGAAATGATACAAAAATAAGGCAATTAGGTGAACAAGAGATGACAAAGTTATTCTTCTGCATGACAACGCTCGGCTTCATGTCGCAAAAGTCGTAAAAAAATATTTGGAAACGCTCAAGTGGGATGTTTTACCGCACCCGTTATATTCTTCGGACATTACTCCTTCTGATTACCGGTTGTTCCGACGGACGCAGCATGATTTGGCAGGTCACCAGTTCACTTCTTTCGCAGAAATCTAAAATTGGCTTCTAACTTGGGTCGCCTCAAAAGATGAGACATTTTCTCGAAATGGAATCCGAAAATTTGTCTGAGAGGTGAGAAAAAGTAGTAGCCAGTGATGGACAATACTTTAATTAATCTGTTCATTCATTTTGTCTTGGAATAAATGCATTTTTGACTACAAAAAAAACGGACCAAACAAATTTGTACTCCCAATACATAAAATTATAGACAAACACGCCAGTGAATAGGAATTGTGACACTATACTTGCGATCCCGAGAGTCTAGGACCGGGCACAGTTCAGTTTTTGATCATTCTGCGCATCTCAATGCTTTACCGTGTATACTGAACCGTGTGGAAGGAATTCGCTGCGACCTCCACCGCCTTCCAACCTGCGTGAAACGGTCCTAGAGTCTCGGAACTACGAGTATATGAGAAATGTTTCTATAGATTTACTCGTGGAGCACTCAAGCATTATCGATGGCTATAAACGTCTTGCAATGCAACGTAGTGCAGCAGATGCTGTACCTGCTCCAAGGTCTGGTCCCACCAGAGACTCCTGTGGAAGAGCAGGAAGACGAAGAAATCGAAGAAGAGAGTCGACAACCAATGACGATGGAACACCTAAAACGGTTTTACATTTTCTCTCTAATATGGGGTCTAGGAGCACTGCTAGAAACGTTGGACAGGCAGAAATACGACTCGTACCTTCGAAGTAATTTTGAAAATTTAGACTTACCTACATCAGAGAAATACCTCGATGCGAAGGTGTTCGATTTCTATGTAACTGAGAAAGGTAAATGGGACACGTGGACGAGCATGGTACCGCATTACGTTTACCCAGAGTACTCGACGCCCGATTATAGCAACGTGCTGGTACCGATCCCTGACAACGTGAGAATACAGTATTTGATTGATCTAATCGGTCGGCAGGACAGAGCCGTTTTATTGATAGGAGAGCAAGGCTCTGCTAAAACGGTGATGATGAAGTCGTACATGAAGAAGGCGAACCCTGAGACCACTCTGAACAGATCGTTCAACTTCAGCTCGGCCACGAGTCCCTATCAGTTTCAGAAGACCATCGAGAGTTACGTGGAGAAACGTTTAGGCAGTACTTTCGGCCCACCGGGTGGCAAGAAGATGTTGATATTCATCGACGACGTGAATCTACCGGAGATAAACGAATGGGGCGATCAAGTGACGAACGAGATCGTGAGACAGACGATGGACATGAAAGGGTTTTACTCTCTGGAGAAACCCGGCGATTTCACTAGCATCGTGGATGTAACGTTCCTGGCCGCAATGTGTCAACCCGGTGGAGGGAGGAACGACATCCCTTCGAGGTTGAAGCGACAATTTTGTATATTCAATTGCACGCTGCCCACCGAGGCGTCTATCGACCGTATCTTCAGCGTGCTGGGAGAAGGTCATTACAACGCAAAGAGAGGCTTCTCGGTAGAAGTCAGAGCTTTGGTGAAGAAAATGGTACCGTTGACGAGGATACTTTGGGAGAGGACGAGGTCCAAATTATTGCCGACACCAGCGAAATTCCATTACGTCTTCAGTCTTCGCGATTTGTCGAGGATATGGCAGGGCATGGTGGGCACGTTGTCTACGGTGATTGATAAGGAGAGCGTGCTCATGCTATTGTGGAAGCATGAGTGCAGCCGAGTGTTCAGTGACAGGTTTACTGTGCAAGCTGATAAAGATTGGTTCGAGAAGGAAATCGTGAAGATTGTGAAGGAGATGCTGGGCCAGGGCTACGTGGACATGCTCGGGAAGAGTCCTGCGTTTGTGGATTTCATGAGGTAAACGGATTTAGTATTATTGTATTGGGAGTACAAATTAGTACCTCAAAAGACGAGACATTTTCTCGAAATGGAATTCGAAAATTTGTTTGAGAGGTGGGAGAAAGTAGTAGCCAATGATGGACAATGCTTTGATTAATCTGTTCATTCATTTTGTTCTGAAATGCATTTTTCATCACAAAAAAACGGACCAAATAAAAAATTTGTACTCCCAATATGTCGCATAGATTGAAGGATCATAGGAATTATCTATCAATCTCCTGAAGTTAGATGCTCGAATAACACTTTAATATCTCAAGATAATCACAATACACGTTCTTACATGCCACCACGAGTCACACGCACACACACAGTCGGATCCCCATTCACCAATACCTCGCTTTGCGTCGTTTCGTTTTGCGTTTTTTCGCAGTTGCGTCGCTGCTTAATTAGTACTAATTTTCACTGTGCGTCGTTAGATTTTCGAGGTTGCGTTGTTTTGGGTTCGAGTCTTTAATTTTTTT